ATTCAATCTTTCAAGAAATTTAGTTTGATGGATTTTGAATTTTATATTTTCGACTTGCTAATATTATATTATGTGTTCGTATTTATTTGTGGTTTCGAAATTTGTATAACTTTTAAAAATATAATATATTTTTATAACCTCTAAGTATTTTTTAATAATTTTACTGACTTTAAAATTATTAAGTTATCACACAACATACATGCATAGAAGTTAATTACATATGTATGTATGTACATACATATATGCTTTAACTGCTATAAAAATCTCAGTAGAAAATTGACCTTTTAAAAGTAATTTCCCAATTGAATGACTATATTAATAATCCCAGGTTAACGAAATATGTAATAATAAAATTTAATTCGCAGCGCAATAAAACCATGTATGAGGCTATAATATTTTTATAACGTGACTTTCACACATTAGATACATATATGAATTATTCATGACTATGTCGTTTATGTTTACCCTTCCACTTAGTTAAACAGATTATATATGTAGTCACATTCTCTAAACACTCCAACACTCGAAGGAAGACAAACATACATAGGTACATCTATAGATAAATATCTATCGCATATGCATAAAAATATATTTACCTACCATATAGCCTGCAAGAAATAGTGAAATGACAACAGAAAGTTATTTTGTAGTAGAAAACTTTCATCTCAAATATTGCAAGAAAAAAATTGAGACTTTCATTTCAAAAATATACAGTTTTAAAAACTGTCATATTTTAATAAAAAAAAGTTTTACTTTTTTAAATAAAAAAAATTTAATATTTCAAAAAACAAATATATAACGTTTTTTTGGTAAAAAAAAGTAATAATTGAGAGCCTTCTAAAATGCCTGCCAAAATTTCTTTTATTTAATTTTTTCGTTGATTTTCATTTGAAGTCATTTGCATTCATATTCGGTATTTCAATAAAAAAAAAACAATTTTAAACTTTTTTAAATAAAAAATTATAATATTTCTATAACAATTTTTTTTTAATTTTTTTAAATAAAAAATGTTTCAATAAAAAAAATATATTTATTAAATAAAAAAAATTATAACATTTTAATAAAAAAAAATTAAATCTCTTTTAAATAAAACAAACTATAATATTTCAATAAAAAAAAGTTTTACTTTTTTAAATAAAAAAAAATTATAATATTTCAAAAAACAAATATATAACGTTTTTTTGGTAAAAAAAAGTAATAATTGAGAGCCTTCTAAAGTGCCTGCCAAAATTTCTTTTATTTAATTTTTTCGTTGATTTTCATTTGAAGTCATTTGCATTCCTATTCGGTATTCACTATTCATATTTAAAAATTTATATGCTTGAATCTACCAACACATTTGCATAACTGTCATTTACGATTATTTAAATAAAATACATATAGTACATTGGCAAATTGACAGGAGGCTCGTGCACTGCGTGCTACTTGTGCAAATCGGCAAACAAACCCGTAGATAAGCTTCTTTGCTTGCATTAAGCTCGCTCGCAAAGAGGCGAATGAAGGTTAGTGCCTTATGCCTCTCAGATAACTCAGCTCTTTTGCCCCTATCTACATATGTATGTATGTATGTGTATTTGCAAATTTATTCAGATATTTGCGCATGAATTTCAAGGACTTGGCTTAACAAGCACGGCAGTTTGAAAAGTTATCGGTTAAAAAGTATTATGCTTGAGTGTTAAACATTTTGAACGATATAGGAAAAAGAAAAATTACTATATGGTATAATTTTGTTTTTTGATATTAAAGTGACCAACACATTTGCATACATATTATACAATATATACAGTCACTCACATTGAATCTATATATATATATCTAGATATGCATTTGTTTTATTAGCAAGTTTTTTATTTTTGTTGTTTTAGCGGCAGAAAACATTCGTATAATAAATTCGAGGAATGGTGCAGAGCTGACAGTTCTTGGCCGAAAAAAATAAGGGTCCGTTTCGGTTATTTAGACCCGACTGTTGTGGTAACGCTAAGTTTGTTCGTAATGGTTGGTATATTTATATATACATACATACATACATATGTATGTAAATTTAAATATAAATTAAGAGTATTTACTGTGCATTTCTTATTCACTAATGCTTGTGAAGTTTATATTTTTCTCTGTAAGAATAAATACCCGAAATGTTAATTTCCCGAAATTCATCGTCTGATGATTTTGTTTTTATTTCTCTGGCTTACAGACGATAAGAATTGGAATGTACTAGACATTTTCAATTAAGTAAGGTCAAGCGAATTTCAAAACAAACAAAATAACGAGTTGCTGACCCATACAAGCAATTTCCGAATGGGCTTTTTGTGCATAAATATACATATTTCGATGACAAAATTCTGATAAAATTTATTATTTTTTTAGGCAATAATATTTATATGAATACAAAAAAAAATTCTCGAAGCCAAAATTTAAATATGTGTGTGAATTATAAGTTGGTTGGTTTGCAGTTCAAAATATGGACATTAAAACACAATCACTTCTCATAACATAGACATTAATACACTAACCACCTCTATCCAACGCTTTAGCAAATTTTCATACACTTTTTATAAGCCTCCATTGTCAGTATGCTTCAATGAATAACTGCGCAGTTACGAATAAGCTGACATATTACACACATGCATACATACTATTATGTGCCTACGTAGAAAATACGGATAATAATTGACTGAAATCAACAAAATTTTATTTTTGGTTTAGAATATAAATTAAATAGGCTCAAAAATAATTTGTACAATGTACATATATAATACATACAAACAATTCTTCATATAAATCTTCAGTATTACACATTTCTATGTATTTACATAAGTACATACATATATAATGTAAATAAATAAATTATGCGCCATACACACAACAACAAAATTTTAAACTTTTGTACTATTTTTCCTTTGCGACTAAAAATAGAACAGTAGCGCCAGAGAGTAAAATAGAAATACATTATATACATATGTATATACATATATGCATATATGTACTTATAATGTAAATACATACGCACAAACAAATACCTAATATGTATATGTAGAAAACAGCAAAATTGAAAACAATTTTTTGTCTCTCAACAAAAAGGCCGAAAATAAAGTGGATACAAAATGATCACAAAATACGTATCCAAAACAAAAACAAAACAAAACAACCAGTTACAATTTGTTGCGAAGACGTGTACAGCAGTAAAATGTGAAAGATGGTGAACAAAACAAAAATGACAACATAAAGACTTTTTAAAATTTTGTAAAAACAAATAAAATTGCTCAAATGAACTAAAAAACAAAAAAACAAATTATGTCACAAAACAAAACTGCATATCTTATGCACATTATTTGCTGATAGAACATTGTACCTTTTTAAGTATTTTTAATTGCTTTGCACATACTTGTTTTTTTTCTTATTACGTTTTCACATTTCTTTTACTTTCGGAATTTTCCACATATTTTTTCAAGATAAATTCACTTAAGTTAGCATTTAGTGCAAATATTATAAGTATTTTTATTTTGTTATTAAATCTTATCAAATCAGTTAGCACAATGTACTTGTACTATACTATTTATAACGCGATAAAAGTCTACTAATACCTGTACTTAGACTTCTTGCACAGGCGGCGTGGTCAGGTACCCCATACAAACAATTTTATTGTTTTTAAAATAAAAGTAAAATAAACTGATAGGAAGCAAATTTACCAATTTATGAGTAGAGCAATGGAAAAATTGCGCAACGAGCGAATAATAATAATTATTAAGAAGTTTATGAAATTTAGAATCTTACCTACCTAAGTTTTAAGCATTTTACTTTGCTAACTACTTACATACATACATATATACAAATGTACCTATGACACTTTACTTAGAGTGCGTCATGATCACTCCCCAACTAACAGCACATATTTTCCGATTTTCTTGACGTCAATTACGTATACATGCTTTTATTTTAGTTTATTTACAAAAATATTTCCTTATCTTTTGGTTTCTTTTATCAAGCTATTTTTACAATTGCTATTAGTAAAAAAAATTTTGTACATAAAGATAGATTGCTTATCCCGAAAAAGTGGCAGCACGTGAAGCGGGCGTGTTGATTTTATTTATATTATTTTTGTACGATTTACGATATAATGTTAATTGCTTTATTCTTTCATATTTATCATCTTTTAGCATAGAACATTTTTTTTCTAAATAGCATGTTTGTTTAAGATTGAGAGTATTGTCACAGGTCGCTTTTGCGATTTTTACTATAAATTCCTTCACAGTACCGCTAGAACGACGTAACTGACAACACGTATTCCAATCGCCTACTGACACACATAATTTATTGTTTGAAGGCTAAGCAGTGTTGTTTTTGATTTTTATCCTTCTCTTCATTATAAACAAAAAAAAATATGCAATTGCTTACTTTATTTATGGACACATATACGCTCGAATTAAATTTAGCGTAACCCTCGCTAGATTCCATATTGAACTAACATATCATTAGTAATTTGAGTGGGCGTGAAACATTAAGTTATGAAATATAATCGTCTAGATTTGGTTAGGTTCTGGTGGAGAGAAACACAGCAAAAGCCTAACACAAAATAGTGTTAAATAAAAAATGTTAAGCAATAATTTAATAAAAAATAATTATAATGGTGGAGAGAAACACAGCAAAAGCCTAACACAAAATAGTGTTAAATAAAAAATGTTAAGCAATAATTTAATAAAAAATAATTATAACTGCAAGTCATTTTTCATTGTTGCATTATTATTCTTTGATTGATTATTATTTGTTTAATCTTATCTGATAATTGCAAATCATCTGCAATATGTTATTTCCGAAAGAACTTGTCAATAGGACAACAAATGGGGCAGACAAATAATAAAAAAATACACTTGTGCAATTATAAATATGTACATATATGAATTGGTAACTTTCCATTAGAACCTTTAGGGTATATGTACATATGAGCATGTGAAATTTGTAATCAAGTCAATTATGTGAAATACGCAAATTGATAAAACACTTACCCGCCAGCAACTAAATGTATTATAGTGTCACGTTGATTCTGGGACATAATCACGCGAGAACTTTTTCCGCACTCTTCAAATGTACAATAAATTCAAATTTCAATACACAATTGAATAGAGAAAGCAAAATTGCCGGCAATTGCCGGTTTTATAGCACTTCGTTGTCGTACACAAACAATAAAAAAAAAAAATGTGTGAATATAAATTATATAGTGGCAAAGCTTTTACTAGGACCGGCAAACAAAACAACACGTTTTCGAAAACGTTTCTACTACTGTAGGTACTTTATTTCTTTTGCTTTGATATTGTGAAATTGTACTGCGTCGCTTCTAGCGGGGATCAGCCGACGACTGGTTACGATGACAGTGCCTACAGCTCGTGCGCGTAAATATGATGGCAACCAAGCGTAGTAAAATACACACACACAATCTGCTTATTCGAAGCACTGCTTTACGAAATTGCAAAAATATAACTTATGCACACTACTTGTATGATAACGTAGCATGTGAGTAAGTCGAGGGTTTAAAAATACACAAAGAATTCACACCGTTGGGACGGGAGTACCGCCCGCTTCACTTATGTGAATCTTAACTTTTTCGTTTGATTCTGCTTTAGATTCAACGAAAATTATTATTACACAAGAGATTGTCGAAAAACACTTCTTCCTGCCGCACGCTTATGTAATGCACCCCTCACTAAGTACACCGCTTAGCTACACAGAAAGTTTTCGTGAGCCTACTATGTTTAATTTATCGGAAAACAGATTTTCTGTTGAAATTAATGAACTTCAGTTTAATTATTTATTATTTGAACTTCAATTCTTCAGATTATTCTGGAAAGTTTGTAATTTCAGATCTACTCAAAAAATTTGCACAACTGGTTTACGCTGCAGTAGCAAAAAAACAAGTGAATATTTTATGCAATTTTCTCTTTCATCGCACGATTCGTTTAACTTCGTTTGATTCAGCGAGTTTTTTATTGTTATATTTTTTCACTTTGGCACTTTAAGCGAAAATGTGTCCTATATTATTTGCGTTCTGCGTTCTGCATCCAACATCAATTCTCGACGACGGCGATTTTTCCATTGAAATAAATTTGAGCTTTCGTTCATAACAAACGGCAAGATGACGTAACGCATAGTTGCTTATCGAAACGTTATAAGATAACGTAACAATAGATACTGAGGCACAGGGTAATTCATAAATAATGAGTACAATAACATTTTTGAATCAACTATATATTATATATATGACTATACAAATTTTGAAATATTTAAACGAATTTTAAAGATATATATAAAAGTATCAGGTTTTTACAACAAATGTATGAGATTAATATAAACATAGCGGGTTGACCTTTGACTAGTATACAGCTTCTGCATTTTTAGAGTTTTTAACATGCATGTTTGTGTATATATATTCAATTTTTTTTTCGGTTCCTTCGGAATTACATTTGTTAGATATGTTTACTTATATATTCTATATATTTTCTATTTGCCGACATTTTTTTTTAATTTCACTTGTAGTACATGTTTTTTTGACTCTCCTGCTCCTACGTATTAAATAATTTAATTTAAATACTTTAAAACTCATTGTATGAAATTAAAAGCATGGCAGCGACATCTGTGCTCACGTCTAGCAAAGACATAACTCATCTTCTACGTCGCGACTCACGTTTATTGCTTGTTTACGAATGTCATAGAGAGCATTGATAGCAATAAAGGGGCCTAAAAGGGACTTGAGTTAAATGTCCGATAAGAAACAGAGAACGTATACATTGTGAGTAAAAAACGAACTAACCCATTGGAAATTCAAATCGGAACGACTAAATAGCCGACGTTGACAGACGATTGCGCCGACGTCGGAGCAATTGGAGACCAAGCTGAGTACACAAACATTCTCTGGCACAAGTGCATTGGCAATACGCACTGACGGCGTTGGCGCCGACTGAGAATGCCGACGAAACCACTTGTCAAAGTTTGCACTTTATAGAAAAATTCTCCAAGTTAAAATTGGAGCTCGATACGAACGGACGTGTGTAGACGGCAATTTGTGCGATACAATATAATTTTCTTTCCAACTCAAGTGTATTTTAACCAAATTTACAATTGATGAAAAGCTAACAACTTGTCAAGAGTTACAAAAAAGTACTAGCTACAGCAAAAGTAAGTTTGCCACTACGCAATAATTAATTTAAATTTCACTTTGAAATACGTCAAAAATTTGACAATAATAAAGTTCTCAAACGCAGTTGAAATACAAAATTTCACAGCAGAAAGAATTTTTGTATAAATTTGTGCAGAGATTGCATTAATTGAACATAAAAAATTTAAAAAAATTTGTAACAAAATTTATGTGTAAAGCCACAAAATTGCCAAATGAAGTGAGTAATATAAGCGTGTGTGTGAAAAGTGAGAAAATTTAGTAATTGAAAAGTGCAAAAAAACAATTGTTGTAGTTCAAAACATTGGGAATACACGTAAACAGCATCGAACAACAACAAAGATAACAGTATTGACTGCATTACAAGCAACAATACGCAATAGAAGTAGCAAATACGCGCGGCCCAAAAAAGTGGTAGTGGCTAAGAGGAAAAGGCAGCGGCAGTAATTAGCAGGTAAGCATGGAAATCTAGACATATATGCCATTGCGAAAAATGTAGTTGCATTGTATGTGCAAGCAATAAGATATCAAATTTAATGTACATAATTAAAATTACATCTATAAGTACCCCGCCTTTTTAGGTATATTATTTAAAAGATAAAATGTCGATTGTTCAAAGGGCAAAGTGCGGTTAGGGGGCGAGGACGAAAATGTGATGAAAGTTTAAAAAGGGGGAGTCAGCAGTGAAGGGGCCACGTGTGCTAACCAACGAAGAAAACGTTACGTGAACGTGTGAAACAAAATGCGAACGAATGAATGAAGAGAGAGAGTGAGCGAGGTAGTCTGCGAGAGCGCAACACTAATTTTTTCTTATCTTTGCATGTATGTTTGTTTGCCATTGCGCGAGAAGTGTAGAAAATGGAAATAGAATTGATTGAAAACACCAGCGATTGCAGTCGCTGCTGCGTCGCGTCGGCTTTTGTGTGTGAAATATGCTGCTGTGGCTGCGGTCGCCGCTACTGCTGCGCTGTGTTTTTGAATTTTTGTTAATTGGGCGTGTTTTTTGTGTGGCTGCATTTCCAATTGGTGTGGGGGAAGAGTTGGTCTATATGGAATTAATTGTCAGTCAAAATTGTTTGAGATAGCGGCGAAGTTAGCTTTAGAGTGGTGCAATTGAAATATTTTATACAAGCCGGTGATAGGTATTAATTTTTTTTAATCAAGATAAGTGTTCACGTGTATGCAAGTTCTCTTCAATTTGCTTGGAAAATAAATCTGCATCTCCCAAAATGATAGAGACGTATTTAACCAATCTTGCTCATACCTATGTTAAATATTAATATTTTTTTTGTTTATTTATTATTTTTATTTTTTTTAAATTTTTTTTATATTTTTTATATTTTTTTAATTAACATTCTCTGCCTATGTATGTATGTATGTACGTGTGTTGCGTTTGCAAAATTCCAATGAGAATTTGCACAAATTGGGGGCATCATTTTGTGTTGGGGTGGGGAATTGTAAACACTTTTCAAGTCAAATTTTGTCCAACAAGAATTACAAGCATTAAAACGATCAGCGTCGTGATATATGGTTGCAATAGACATATTCCAAAATATGTGTAAATATTATATGCAAAATAGTTAAAGATGAGGTAAATAATTTAGCGAACAAAATTGCCATTTATTGTACCAAATTTATATAATACTTTTTCATTAGCCGAACAAACTGCTCTCATCCTGTATGTGTCAGATCAATCGTAAGCACTACATATTGACTCCGATTATTTAGTATTATTGCAAATTGTTGCTCCCGCCAATAACAAGACCATTATTACGTTTACTTCAGAACGACGTTCCATTTTCCACTAACTAGCGTCTCTTGTGTCTGCGAAGCTGCGGCAGCAGAGATTTTTCGTATATAAAAACTTATGCTCCGAAATCATTCGTAAGCAAAGCAAGTAGAATATTTGACCTTTAATATCGTGGTATGATGGTATGTAGGGATGTATGTCTGTATACTTAGTCTTGCCATAAATTCTGTTACACACTATTGATCATTTTTCACAAGTGACGGAAAGAGTGGTCGTCCTCTTGTGATTTGAATCAATTCAACCGTAACAACTCTTCGTGTACGCATTCGCAGAATTCTTTTTATAAAACACAAAATTAGTCAAGAGAAATGAATATATAGACTAAATAAATGTCAAGACTTATTCGAGATGATCTCCACATGAAATCCTACCGCCAGTTAATTGGTCATCTTCTGACAACGCGAATTAAGCAAATTAGGCTCAGCAGATGCCAGCGACTTCTTCAGTGGTCAACGGCCATGAAAGTATCATGTTTACAGATAAAAAAAAATGTTTCACTGTTGAAAAAGTTTTTAATAAACAATAAGACAAAATCTACGCAAAAACTTCCAAAGGCGCAAAAAATGTTATTCCAAGGGTTCAACGTGATCACAATCCAGCTGCTGTAATGGTTTAGTGGGTAGTCTCCTGTAAAGGCGTTACACCTTTCAACTTCTGTGAAGAAGGGGTTAAAACTGGGACAAAAGTGTATCAGCAGGTGGTTTTACAAGACGTGATAAAACATTTAAACAATATTCTCTTCGATGGAGAGCATTGGATCTTTCAGCAAGATTCTGGTCCAACACACAAGGCTGCAGATAATTAGCCGTCCGGATGTCCAGTTTTTAATCCATTCGACTACAGTTTTTGGTACGAGTTGGCGAACATGGCATTTCGAATACTCCACAGTAATTTGGATAGTCTTGAATTGATTCGAGCAGTGTTACCAATAAAAACTGGGCGTGTTGCTGTTAAAGCGTTTCTGGCTTGTGAGAAACTAAAACGTGATTAATTCGAATAAAATTTTGTACATCGCTCATTTAATATTTGTATTATTAAATAAAATCAACTTTATTCAAAAAAAAATTGATCTTAGTTTCACTTGTATAACGGCTAGAACTTGTAACAGAACTTATGGCAGACTCGGTTTGTTTGTAAATAATTATATACTAAAGGATTCTCTCTATGAAAACAACATTATGTTGTTGTTGTAGCGTAAAAAACATTCCTAAAATAATTTTAAAAAATGCTGCGAAATTGACAAAATTCGGGTCTATTACAGGTTACGTAGACCCGACTATCGAGGTGCGGAAAATGCCATTCTCTTTTCTACTATTGTACTTTGATCCTTAATGTAAATCTCACAAATATTGAATATAGTGCGTCACAACAGCCAAAAGCATTAGTTTAGTAGTCTATAAATATACAAAAGAAAACAACACAACAACAAATACATATGCATGTACATAAATATGTATCTACATACATACATATGTATATTTGTAAGTCATATCCCCTGCATTTCGTCATTTGACATGGTACGTGGCTCATTACGTTTCAATAACGTGCTACACACACACACACACACATTCATACGAAATGCGTGATGCTGACAATGCCATTTATGTTAACACTCATTGTTGGGCTCCTCTGCTGGTTATGACTGTTTTACCCGCTGCGTTGTTTTCGTGCGCACAAAAATTCCATTTTATATTTTTGTTATGTCAAAATCCTCCATAATATTAACATCAGCAACTTTTAGCTTATTGTTGTGATTGTTGTTGTTGTTTCATGCTATAGCGTCAAACAAATGTTGGTACGAGTACGTCGAATACACTAAAGCACGCGCGGCACTCAATAGCTCACTCCATTATCATGGTACCACCGCCACCCCAACCCTTCGTCATTTTCTTGGCACCATCCGAATTTAAGCCACGCATCCTTGCAACACAGAACCAAGTGCGCATTATTTTATATACTCGTACATATGTATTTTGTTTGTATGCACGAGAGAATTTTCAAGTTGAAAACTCGACAGAAATGTTGCAGCAACAGCGTATAATGATGAGCGCCTCCGAGCAAGTGGCGCGTGAAGTGGCAAAACAGTGAAAATATAAAAAAATACGCCTCACCTCTTAGCCCCCCACTTATCTTCCTTGTGTACTTAATATACACATGTGACGCATATGCAAATTTTACCGTTACCGGTTATTTACTCCACGCTGATTTCGCATATTTTGTTATGTTCGCCTTCTGCCCCTCTGGGCATACAACGAATGTGGCCATTGGTTAAGCGTAATTTTGAAGTGTGCCTCACGACTGGGCTTACCTCTTGTGGTTATGGCGGTTGTTCGCCTGTGACATTTTGGCGGTATTTATCCATTTTCGTTTTGGAGGTCGAATTGTGGTGCCACCGAATGCGTTGTGGCATGCAACAAGAATCTGAAGCAGTTTTTTTTACTGTGTTTACTGTTAATATATTGTGAATATAAGCGGCAAATTTCCATTTAACGGTAATTTGGAATTTGAGTCGTTGGCAACTCTACTATTTCGCTTATGCGGGTACTCTAGTCTAGAGACATGAATTTTAGGTAATTTTTAAAGTGTCGTGAAATTAGACAAGCCGAATCATTTTGGCGGCCGGGTCAGTAAAATGTCTATATCTCCGAAAACAATTTAAATTTTCAAAAATCATCTCGTAGACATATTCTTAAATAGTTATACTTTAAAAACAAGAAAAAAAAAATTTTTTTTTTGAAATTCTACACTAGAATACCCCATTAAATGTTATCCTTAATTTTTCATTGTAAGGATATGTAAGTATATAAAATTATAATTAAAGTATATTAATATTTTTTACATATAAATTAAAATATGGCAACCCTCTACAAGAAGCAGCTTGCATGAACAAAATATGATTTAAATCATTTTCAGTTACATTTTATAAAATAATAATCATGCGTATTTATTTATGAAACGACAATTTTGTTCGATTCATGGCAGCCTCTGTCCGTCTGTATATACGCAAACTCAGTCGCTCAGTTTTAAAGAAATCTATCTGAAATTTTGCATACCTCCTTTTCCCTCTAAGAAACTGCTCTTTTGTCGGAACCGCTGATATCGTACCACTATTTGATATAGCTGCCATACAAACTGATCGGTCAAAATCACTTCCTTGTATGGAAATCTTTATTCTTTGACACGATATCTTAATGAAATTTAGCATGGATTATTTTCCAAGAAAATGCTATAATCTGCCAACATATTGTTCTGATCGAACCATTACAGCATAAAGCTGCCATACGAACTGACCGAAATCAAGGTGAAGATCTTTTATACACTTTTAGGCCCTAAGAAATGCACCTGTGTTGGTTTGTCTTCGGTATAGCCGAATAAATTTTTTTCTTGTTAAGGGCTCTAATAACAGTTTGAAGCCAGAAAAGAAGGCTCGAGCTTGAACTTATCAGCAATAAGAAACTTTTCCCTTATATAAGCTTCCGCTGACTTTAAACCGATATTGACTCTCTTGTTGTCAGTGACTTCAAGTATCGCAAGCATGCCTTTCCAACTCTTTGTGATCTGTGGACTGTCTGTCATATTTTTTATACGTTAAGTAAACTAATAACATCATCATTATCTGGACCAATTTTGTTTTCACAGTGATT